CTGTCTAGTTAGCCTGAAATTTCCAGCCTTCCAAACCAGTCTTGATATCCCATCTCTTGCATTGCCAAAATGTGGCTTATGTGCAAGTAATTTTCAGCTGCATACCAGGGGTTATCAGTGCTCTAGGCCAAACCTCAAAGTAGGCAGAATTTTCTCTTAGGTTGTTTGTGCCTCACCAAGCATGGTACCTTCTTACTGCCTCTTCCTTCCTTGATCCATTCTTACCCATCTACCTAGTCCTCTTTTTCCGTAAGGACCCTTCTCTAATATTGCTTCTCCTTCCAAGGCACTAGAGAACCTAACATGAATGCTATGATTAAGGCAAGACCAGAAGGTGTTAACTTTCTCTTAGCAGATATTTAATCCAGTAACCAATTATCTGCAAGTGGTAGTTTGTAATTTTATTTTATTGTGGGTGATGAGATTCTGGAAAGGCAGGTCTTCTGGTATTTCTTGTTTGTTTCAAATGCTGCCACTACAGGTAGATGTGCCAAACTCACTTATTTTTTCTGTTCTCAGATGCATCCACGCATCCCCCATGTTAATATTTGAAATTAGGATGTATCTTAAAATGGTAAGAACATTAATGCAACATTCTTCCTCCCACTCCTTTTGAAAAGCTGTTACAGAGTTGATAGTGTGTCTTACACTTGATGTCATCTTAGAATACAGGAAATATGTTTATAAGAGGGTAAAACATGTGAATCAGCTAGCTGTTCTTTATTGGCAAATAGCCATACACAGTGTTTCTCCTCTTTTTGTAGTGGGTTTGTTGTTTTCATTACTTAGTACAAAGGGACCTTTGGTGGGTGATTGTGGGTTGGTACAGAGCAAGCAAATATTCTAAACTGAGAAAGGGGGAAAAAAAACCCAAAATCAACTGGAGGATCATCTTCTCCTTTTGTTAACATTAACATTTGTACAGATAACTTTCTTGAACTCTTAGATTTGCCATTTTGATTACTCCCTCTGTGTTCAAATACTTCTCTGGATTTCTGGGACACCACATTCCATAGTTTTTACCTACTGGCTGCTTTTTTCCAATATCCCTTTCTCATCCTAGCTTCTCTGCGAGAAGTTTGAATAACTCAGTGTTCTTCTACTTCTCTCTCTCTTTTTTGTATGATCTTTCCTTATGTGAGTGCATCAATTTCCATTACTTCAAATCTCTTCAGTGGGCTGTTGATTAGACCATTTATGTCTGCAGCCTGAAAGACTCTCTTCAGCTCCAGCTTCATATATTCAAATGCTTGATCAGTATTTCCAGTTAGACGCTTAAACATAACATGGCCAAAACCAAATTATTGATTCCCAATCCCCAAATCTTTGTCTCCCAAATTTCCATCTCAATAAATGGCACCACAAAACAGGTAAAGTTCAGGCCAAAATCCTTTCCAAGTGCTTAGGAATCCTATTTGATTTCTTCATGCATGTCTCATATCTATCAGAGTTCTCTTGGTTCTGCCTTCAAAATATGTCCCCCATTCACTTCTCACTCTTGCTATTGCTATACTCCAGATTACCATTGTCGTTCATTTAGTCTTAGACCAATGCATCAGCTTCCAAATGATCTTCTTGCCTTTACTTTTTTCCCTGGGCCTTTACTTTTGCCTCATCTGCAGTCTTTTCTTCATAGAGCTTCCAGAACGGGCTTCATGAAATAGAAATTAGCTCAAGTTTGAAGAAACCCAGTGGTGACTCCCTATCACACTTAGAATAAAATTCAAACTTCTTACTTGGGCCAACATAATCTGGTTCCTGCCTACTTCTCTGGCCTTTTCTCTTCCACCTTTTCCTCTTCTTCACTATGTCCAGTCACACTGATCTTCTCTCTGTTACTAGAACATGGCAAGTGTGGTCTTGTTTCATGGCCTTTCATGGTATCTTCTCAGAATGCTCTTCTTGCCCTGCCCATCTTTGCATGGAAGATTCCTTCCCATCATTCAAGTTTCAGTTTCTTAGGGAGGCTTATTATTATTATTTTTTAAATAGTTTTTATTAATTTATTTTTTGTAGAATATACATAGCAAAAACATACACCAATTCCACTTTCTACCTGTACATTTCAGTGACATTGATTACATTCTTCAAACTGCAACCATTCTCACCCTCCTTTTCTGAGTTGACTCTCCCATTAACAAACTCATTGCCCCCTAAGGTTCCTATCTAATCTTTTGAGATGCTGTTGTCAATTTGATCCCATATACCAAACCCAAACCCAAGGCTGTTGAGTCGATTCTGACTCATAGCGACCCTATAGGACAGAGTAGAACTGCCCCATAGGGTTTCTGAGGCTGTAAATCTTTATGGAAGATTTACAGACTGCCACATCTTTCTCCTGCAGAGTAGCTGATGAGTTCAAACTGCAGACCTTTCGGTTAGCATCTGAGTGCTTTAACCACTAAAACACCAGGGTTCTGATCCCATATAGATAGATCTTAAAAGAGCATAATGCTCAAGGTGGATATTCTTTACTAGTTAAGCTAAACTATTGTTTGGTTTTAAGAAGACTTCAGGGGATATTTTTGGTTTAAAGTTTAAAGATTATCTCAAGGCAATAGTTTTGGGGGTTCATTCAGAATAGAAGTTAGCTAGCGAAGTAGATAGGAGGGTGACAGGATACCAGTTATTGTTCTCTGACAAAGATAAAAGTATTCTAGGCAGATGGAATAGCACAAGCTTTAGGAATTCCAAAGGTCCCTAGGTGGTGCAAGCGGTTTACAATTGGCTACTAACCTGGAGTTTGGTGGTTTCAACCTACCCAGCGGTGCCATAGAAGAAAGGCTTGGCGATCTGCTTCCGTAAAGATTACAGCTAAGAAAACCCCATGCAGCACAGTTCTTCTCTGTAACACATGGGGTCGCCGTGAGTCAGAATCGACTGGACAGTAACACTTGATTTTTTGGTCTTGGGTTAGGAATTCCAAGTGATTTGGTGAGGCTGGAGGGTCAAGTGAATGTAGTGAGTAAAGGGTATTGAAGTTGGGAAGGTAGGTGGCTAGGTCTGGATAAACCAAAACCAAACGAAACCTGTTGCTGTCGAGTCAGTTCCGACTCGTAGCGACCCTATAGGACAGAGTAGAACTATCCAATGGGATTTCCAAGGCTGTAGTCTTTATGGAAGCAGACTGCCATATCTTTCAAGGTCTGGATAACCCAGAAAACCAAACCCATTACCGTCAAGTCGATTCCAACTCATAGCAACCCTATAGGACAGAGTAGAACTGCCCCCGTAGGGTTTCCAAGAAGCGGCTGGTGGATTTGAACTGTTGAGCTTTTGGTTAGCAGCTGAATGCTTAACCACTACACCACCAGGGCTCTGAGGTCTGGACAGGCCTTGAATAAAAATTTGTTGCCGTCAAGTCGATTTTGACTCAGAGAGACCCAATAGGACAGAGTAGAACTGTCCCATGGGATTTTCAAGGCTGTAGTCTTTACAGAAGCAGACTGCCACGTCTTTCTCCTGTGGAGTAGATGAAGGGTTCAAACCACCGACCTTTCAGTTAGCAGCCGAGCACTTTAACCTCTGCACCACCAGGGCTCCTTAGGCCTTAAATACCAGCTGGAAATCATTGAGAGATTGAAAGCAGAGTCCTGTGGTCAGATTGATATTAGAGAAATACCTTTCAGGGGCCATTTGGGGGAATAATTTAGAGGGAACTAAGAGGAGTTAGGAGCCCTGCTGGTGCAGTGGTTAAGAGATTGCCTGCTAACCAAAAGGTTGGTGGTTCAAATCTACCAGTCACTCCTTAGAAACCCTGTGGGGCAGTTCTACTCTGTCCTGTAGGGTTGCTGTGAGTCAGAATTGACTTGACAGCAATGGTTTTTTTTTTTTTGGGGGTGGGCAGTGGTTTAAGAGGAGTTAAGTGAATACTCATCTTTTCTGAGTTTGATCAGGGAAGTGACATAATCAAATCTATGTTTTATAAAAGGCTGCCATGGATGCTGGGTGGGAAAATAGACTAGGGGTTGGGGGGCAAAATGGAAGCAGACCAGTTAGGAGGGATCAGAATAGTCAGCTGATATATAGTAATATGGAGCTTCCCTTGCCTTTTATTGTTTCAAGAACATTTTGATCTTGCCTCTTACAAAATAATTCTACTATTTTTATTATAGTAAAATGTTGGGGAGAAAAGTTTTTGCCAAGTTACCAGAAGCTGTGACATGCTCATCCCTCTGTCCTAACTCTCTTACTTGAAGCCTGCTTCTCATATAGATAGGGAGTGCACATGCAGAAATCTACGTCTTCAAAGTTCTTTGTATCTTTTGACCTTAGCTTATGTTTTTATTGAAATACTGTTGAGGATGCTGCAGTTTTCAGTTTTGGTTTTCCTTTCATTGTGGTATTCAATGTAAAAGGTTTTTTTTAGAGAACTAAAGTTATAGCATCAAGTACGTTTAGTAATTTATACATTAATCTTAATAACTATGATGAGTTTGGGTTATTTGTCCCATTGCTAATGAGTATGTTACAATGTTTAGTCAAATTGGTGAGAAGAATAAAAAGCTCACTTTAGGGTAAGCCATTACTTTTTCAAGGCAGACCAGTTATACTTTTAATAACTTCTCAAACTGGAGCATATTGAGCATATTATAATACCTATGTCTGAAAAATATTAACACATAATCTAAAAAGGGGCAATTTCATATTTAGAGATAAGATTAGGCTGGTTTCACTTTAGTTTTTGGAAGTTATTAAATAGTATTCTCAAATATTGAAAATAAAGCACAAAAATATTTATTCTTTTTCTATTTTAAATGAAAAGATATAACATAGGTTGTACATGTTTATATGTATTTCTCAAGTATATTCCCCGTATTTTCGCAGTTACCTTCTGTATTGTAATTGCCTATATGATTCTATTCACTACCTTCCCCCTTCCCCCAGCAGTTATTAAGGTCCCAGTGTCATCTGAATAAGCACTTGAATATTTTTGAATGAGTAAATGTGATACTACTTACTTTTCTTTTTTGCATTCTTTTTTTTTTTTTTTTAAATAGAAAATGCATCAGACGCAGATTTATGGCTCCTGAATAGTTGTACTGTAAAAAACCCAGCTGAAGACCACTTTAGGAACTCAATTAAGTAAGTGGAAGTTGTTGATTTTTTTTCTCTCGTTTTTATAAGTGAAGTAAGAATTAGTATCAGGAGATTAACTTTTAAAAGATTCCTAATGTCAACATAAATCTGTGGTATGTATCAGAAAAAAAGTACAACTGACTTCTATTGTTATTACTGTTTTGAAATTATCAGATGAAGAATCAAACTTTCTTTGTGGGCTTTTTTTAATAGGCGAGAAATTAGCAAATAGGGAATTTGAATATTTTAAGTATTAACTATGTACTTTTCTTCTCAGGGAATTCACTTGTACTTTGTGAAACTGCCTGATGAGGTTCAGACCTCTTTTCCCTTCCCTGCCTATTAAGTACTGTTCTAGCTACTATAATGCTTGGCCTTCAAGGAAATTACAGTTTGTTGGGGGATATAAACATTTATGTCCTTGCTTTTTCGTTTCCTCAAGTTAAAATAGAAAAAGTATCCTTTTTTCACCTGTGCTCTGAATCTTATTTCCATCCACCTTCTTAGAAACCTCATTCTATAAATGATTTCCTCATTCTCCTATATTTTCAATCTCTGTAACTCTATTGGAGGCTTTTCATTGGTATTTAAAGATACTCAGGTCTAATCTACCCCATGTGCCCCTTTTAGCTAAATGTCCTGTTTTCCTTCTTGCCATTCTAGCCAGACTTCTTAAAATTTTTCACTTCCTAACTTCACATTTTTTCACTTCCTAACTTCAGATTAATACTCACCACCACCTCCCAGCATTGATTTTATTGTGAAATACGTATACATAAGAGTTTATAAACCATGGACAGTTTAAATAAAAATAACTAACTCATATATCCACCACCCAGCATAATGTAACATTGTTAATACCGTAAAACCCCGTGTATCCCTCTTTTAATTATATCCCAGTTATAATTTCCTGAAGTGAATCCCTATCATGATTTTTGTTAGTCATTCCCTTACTTAATAAATTTAGTATCTATTAAGTGTATCCTTAAACAAAGTATTGTTTAGCTTTGCCTTTTTTTGGACTTTATTTATTGGACTTAGACTGTGTTCTCAGATTTGTTTCTTTTCTTCAGCATTTTGTGTTACATTTATCCATGTTGATGCATGTAAAATAACTATGGCGATTCATAGCATTTCATTGAATGATTTACCATAATTTATCCATTTTATTATTGATAGAGTATTGAGTTTTTTTCCCAGTGTTTTGCTTTCATGAACAGTGATGCTGTGAATATTTTGAACATGTTTTCTGGTGCACATGTGCAAGAGTTATTCTAGGATATATACCTAGGAGTCAAATAATAGGTAACAGGTGTGTGCATTTTCAAACTTTAGTAGGTGATGCCAAATTCTTTTCCCAAGTGAACGTACCAGTGTTCACTTCTACCAGGAATGGATGCATATGTTTGTTTTTTTCCATTCTTGCCAATACTCAATATGGTCAGACTTCTTAAATTTTTGCCACTCTGGTGGTTGAGATGGTATCTCATTATAATTTTGATTTGCAGTTCCATGAGTAGTAGTGAGGTAGAGCATCTTTTCATATGTTTATTGGATTTTCCTTTTTGGCAAAATGCTTTTCATATCTTTCACCACTTTTGGGTGGTCTTTTTCTTGTTTGTTTTTGGAAATACATTTTATGTATTCTATATACTGTTATTATGTGCTGTTGAGTTGATTCTGACTCATACTCTGTAGGACAGAGTAGAACTACTCCATAGGGTTTCCTAGGCTATGAATCTTTATGGGATCAGATCATCATGTCTATTCTTGCATGGAGCGGCTGGTGAGTTTGAACTGCTGACCTTTTGGTTAGCAGCTGAGTGCTTCATCATTGTGCCACTGGGGCTTCTATTTTCTGTACTAGTCCTTAGATATTGCATATGTTACAGATATTTTCTCCTAGTTGTGGCTTTTCTTTTCACTTTCTTTAAAATATTTTTTCAGTGAAGACAGATTCTCATTTAAAATTTATCAATCTTTTCCTCTTTGGTTTGTGGTCTTCTTATTGCTTAAGAAGTCTTTTTTGTTTTTTTTTATTTAATCCTGAAGGCATTAAGATATTCTCCTATATTTTCTTCTGAAACTTCCATGCTTTTACTCCTTGCATTTAGGTCTGCAATCCATCTGGACTTGATTTTTCTTTTTGTATAGTAACAGGAAAGATGCCCAATTTTTACTTTTTCCATGTAGATACCCAGTTGTTTCACTGTCATTTATTGTTTTATTTTGTTAAAAAAAAAAAAAATTCTTTCTCCTTACATCTGTGCATTACCAGCTCTGTCATATGTTGAGTGTTCATAAGTGTTTTGATTGGCTGCTAACCAAAAGGTGGGTAGTTCAGGCCCACCCAGTGGCTCAGTGGGAGAAAGACCTGGTGATCTGCTTTCATAAAGAATATAGCCAAGAAAACCCGGTGGGTCAGTTCTACTACATGGGGTCATTATGCGTTGAAATTGACTCAGCGGAACCCAACAACAACAACTGGGTTCTCTATTTGATTTCATTAATCTATTTCTTTATTTTGGTGTTTGATTCTACACAGTCATAATTACTATAGATTTGTTTAGGTATTTGATAGTACTAATGTTCTTTTTTTTTTTTTTAAGAATGTATCAGCTATTCTTGGCTCTTTGCCATTCCATATAAATTTTAGGATCAGTTTTTAAGTTCCACAGTAATACTGTTATGATTTTGATTGTGATTAAATTGAATTTTTAAAGTTGGGAAAAATTGACATCTTTACAATTTTGAGTTTTCTAATCCACAAATAAGATATGTAGGTTTTCTTTAATGTCTTTCTAAGGATTTATAATTTTCTTATAGCTCCTATGCATCTTTTAGATTATTTTCCCAACAATATAGATACTGAATTATCATGGTATGTTGGGAGAATTGTCTCCCTCTACACCTCCCATCCAGGCTGCGTAAGTAAATGTGTTGGGCCCAGAGCATTCTCTGATAAGGAGGCTGGGAATTGAGTCACCTTTTCTCTCCCAGTTCCTTCTCCTTATCAGAGAAGTCTTCCCCCTGTTCTGGGCACACAATAACGTTCTCTGTCTCTTGCACATGTGGGCACCATGCAACAGCTGACTGACCCCACTTCTGTGTCTGTTCCCAGCTGGGAGGACATGGAGTCTCTCATGCTGTGGCAGGAGAAGGGGAGTGTGCAAGATGGTAAGAACCAGCCGTGAGGGGTGAACTGAAGGGGAAACAGGCTTTGCAAGGCCGAACATGGGCGCCCTCATGTGGTCCGCTAGTTCACTACAGTTTGCTGAGTCATTTTTATGTAAGTCCCTGGCATGTAGCCACTATTGTCCACTGCCACTATAAGACCTCTGCCCTCCCACTGCGGGGTGTGGGGATCTGCTTTGGTCCTGCTGCCGCCCAAGACTGCCTTGTATGTAAGTCTCCCTAATAAACTTCTTTGCTCCCACACTGGACTTGCCCACCTCTTTCTTCCGTCTCTTGGCACCCTCTGTTTTTGGAGACGAATTTTAAGTTACTCGTCCATGCCTGGACACCAGTATCATTTACTGTTTTTTTAAAAAGTCTTTCTGGAGATAGGGCCAAGATGGTGGAGTAGTCAGATGCTTCTTGTGGTCTCTCCTACAATAAAGACCCAAAAAAATAAGTGAATCGATTATATATGACAATCTAGGAGCAAAGACAATCAAAGACAAAGTTGAGGAATCGGACCAAGCAGCAAGGGGAGGGAGAAATGGTACGGAAGCATCGAAGAGTTGCCAGACCTGACCTGGCTGGCATCCACACCCTGCAGGCTGAATTGACGAGTGCATGGTGAGGCAAGCAGTGGCGATCAGGATGCGTTTTCCACATTGGTAGAGAATGAGCAGCAGAGAGTCTGCTCAACCCTCCAGAACCAGTGAGAAATGGCACTCAATTGGCGAAAGATAAGTATGAGTCTAACTTACCATGTGGATCAAAAAAAAACCTGTTTTGGGAAGGACCTCTCTCCCACATAGCTGCCCCCTCCCCACTGTGCTCTGGTCCTGGTCCAGCAGGAGTGATTTTTGCCCCCTCTGGGCCGGAAGTAGGACCCATCATGCGCCCTGAGCCATTCTGCTGGCTTTGGAAAGGGAGAAAATTAACAATCAGGAAAAAATAATCTGCCAGCTCCCAGACATAAATTCATCCACTTATAAGCAGCTGATATTTGACAAAAGCCCAAAGTCTGTTAACTGGGGAAAAGACAGTCTCTTTAACAAATGGTGCTGGCATAACTGGCTATCCATCTACAAAAAACAAGACCCATACCTCACACCATGCACAAAAGCTAACTTGAAATGGAACAAAGGTGTAAATATAAAATCTAAAACTATAAAGATCATGGAAGAAAAATAGGGACAGTGCTAGGGGCCCTAATACATTGCATAAACACGATACAAACCATAGCTAACAGTGCACAAACACCAGAAGAGAAACTAGATAAGTGAGAGCTCCTAAAAATCAAAGACTTATGCTCATCGATAGACTTCACCAAAAGAGTTAAAAGACAACCTACAGACTGGGAAGAAATTTTTGTCTACAACATATCTGATCAGGGTCTAATCTCTACAGTCTATAAGATACTGCAAAACATCAACAACCAAAAGACAAATAACCCAGTTAAAAAATGGGTAAATTATATGAATAGGCAGTTCATTAAGGAAGATATTCAGGCAGGTAATAGATACATGAGGAAATGCTTACGATCTTTAGCCATTAGAGAAACGCAAATCAAAACTACAATGAGATACCATCTCATCCCAACAAGGCTAACATTAATCCAAAAAACAAAATAATAAATGTTGGAGAGGTTGTAGAGAGACTGGAACACTTCTACACTGCTGGTGGGAATGTAAAATGGTGTAACCACTTTGGAAATCAATTTGGTGCTTCCTTCAAAAGCTAGAAATAGAAGTATCATGTGATCAGGCAATCTTACTCCTCCTTGAAGTATATCCTAGAGAAATAAGATCCATCACGTGCGTAGATATATGCAC